CCTGCACACTTTTACTTTACACACAGGTACTCAGGCACACATGTATGCACACGTACACATAAAATAAAAATGAGTATTTTTGCAGTATTTGTCATTTATGTATAATATGCTAATACACAAGTGTCTATCAGGTGGCACTCATGTGCTCTGTAAATCTCACCAGATAGTGTCTCTCTCTGACCATAGCAACTATACAGCTAACACTGAGTTTCTAAACTGACATTTTAGTGGGTTCTTTCGATTTGGGGTATAGCTCCACAGTTGAGATCCCAGGGTACTCTAAGCGGCATTCCCAGTGGCATTGTCCTTGGTAGATTTTTATCCCTGAAAAGTAAGGCAAGTAGGCAGATGCTTAAACTTCTGTGGGCCAAGACTTTTGTGAGTGAGGAGGTTGGGGAGATCTCTGTAGGAAGCTGTGCTTGTCAGAGACGGGTTCTGTCAGAATACAGCTTCTGACTAGAATTCGGGCTTGTCGGAAAGTCTACATTAAAATAACTTGGTACTTATCTTCAGTAATGTTATTAATAGCTTAGGAAATGGTTGTGTTATGTTCCCTCTAGCAAAGCTATTAAAAGTGATTGTCTGAAGTTTGCCATTTTTTTTCTCTTAGGTTTCTATAGAAACAATACATGAAGTCGTAGTACTTTTTTTTTACCCATGATAAGGTTTGATTCTGAACATTTTGATGAACTTTGACTTAATATTGGGCAGTATCCAAGTGTGTTCAGATTTCTGAAATGCATTTTCATTCTCCTTTGGATATTTTTGATATTCCTTGAATATCAATTTTGGGTTCTCTTCAGAGACATTACATTTAAAATTGGACTGACGGTTTCTATTGTAACATTTTGGAATGTAACATCAGTATTTTTTAAGGTATTTGTATCTCTGTCTCTGTCTCACTCTCTCTCTCTGTCTCTGTCTCTCTCTCCCTGTGTGCGTGTGCTTGTATTTGCATGAGTCCAGGTACCCATGGAGAACCAGAGAGAGCTTTGAATTCCTGTGGGTAATGGAAACCAAACCTGGGTCTTCTGCACGAGCAATACATACTCTAAACCACTGAACTGTCTCTTCATACCCTCCACCATTTTTTTTTTATATATATGTATGTATGTGGGTCTGTATGCTAAGTATGTATGTGGGTGCTCATGGAAGCCAGAAGAGGGCATTGGATTCCCAGAACTGGAGCCACCCCAATGCAGGAACAAATCTTGGAAGAGCGAGCAAGTACTCTTAACTGCTGGATTCCTCTCCAGCCTCCTCAATATTTATTTTAAATATAATTTTGATAAATTTCATGTAAACCATCATACAGGATTACTATCCCTTATTTTTACCATGTTTTTTATTGTATATTTTAACACATTTATCCTAAAGAAGGGCTCTCTTCTGTGAGTAAACTCCCTGGTTCTTTTCATGTGAGTGTAGTGCTCCTCTTTATCAAGTCTGCTAACAGCTTTCATCTTAGTGACTCTTACTGTCTTTAGTGCTCAAGATTGTGTCTCTAAACAATCCAGAATGTACTGCCAACTCCATTAATGTGTCTGTACTTTCCCTCCCACATTGTCTGTGTTTATGCTTTTCCCAGAACACCTGCCTTCCTTGTGGTAACCATGTTTGCTTGCTAAACCCACGCTTAGATGTTTGTGTCCATTCTCATTGCCTCCTTTTCTACAATGTTGCCCCTGGGCTTAGACTCCCATAACTAATTTTGATTCCTCTCTACTATTTAGTGTTCTGCACTTAGTTCTTCTCAAGGCCCCTTTTCTGTCTGTGTCTGAGGTGGTTGTGTACTATGTGTGATTCCTTTAAGGATAACTGCTGTGTCTTACTCTGTGTCTTTTTCAGCAAGTGTCAGGATATCTTGAATGGACAGTTATTGGCACAGTGATAGATGAAATGAATTAGCAAGTCATTGCACTAATATTCTTTCCAACCCAATGTTGCATCTCCTGTTCATTTGTGACTATAGATTATTTCAGGTGTTTTGAAATTATAATTTACACAATTATAGTCTTTGAGCAGCTGTCTGTAGGTAGCTAAAATACTAGATCTTAAAGTCATTTTTAAAAGTTTAATGGAGTGGTAACTTTCTTATGTAACAAGACTGTTTAAATGGGAGTATGGTGAAGTTACTCTCATAATATAGAAGATTAGAAATTGGCTAATAAATGCATGTCACAAGGATTAATTAGCCAAGCTTCAGTAAAACATGCTAAAGATTTGAGTACTTACAGAAAAATTCTGGATAAGGATACTGAATGTGTAGCTCTTTCATCTATACCCAGATTCAGTATGAATTTCAGTTTAGTTAATTCAATGACAAGATGATCTATAATAAGCAGTGAGAATGGATGTGTAATTCTTTTTTGTTGTTGTATTTGGTTTTTCGAGACAGGGTTTCTCTGTGACTTTGGAGTGATGTGTAATTCTTAAGAGTGATGAATAGAGTTCAAAGGGAGTGGGAAATTTACAATAAAACCACAAGCAAATAGAGAAGCTATTGATTATCTAGTGAATAATGCTAGCTAAAGTAGCTACTGGGAATGGAAAGGAATAAATACATGCCATTAGTTTTAATAGGAATAAATTCCTGGATTACATAATGGTGAATATTAAAAAGGAAAACTAATCAGAACAAAATAAAAAATTGAAAGCAGCAAAAAAAAAAAAAGACCTCATGAAATAGAGTTTTCTCACAATGGTATTTGGTTATATATGTTTCTATAAGATGACCATGAACCAGGCACTGTGGTGCCAACTTCTTAGAAAGGCCTGAGATGGGAGGATAGCTAGAACCCAGGCATTTGAGGCCCACCTAGACAACACAGTGAGACCATGTCTCAAAATTTAGGGTCTGGGGACAGTACCGTAAGAAAATGTGTGATAAATATAATAGATGAAAGCATGTCCTCACTATGTAAAGCACACTATGAATAAGAAAAATTTCTGAGAACAGGGGCAAGTAAGAAGAAATAAAACCGTAAGTAAAAATTAAAAATTGTCAAAAAAGAGGATCAGTGTAAATGAAACAGAGTGAATATGGTATCATGCTAAGATGAAATTTTTCCCTAATCAAGCTACAAGATTGACATTTATTAAAGTTAATGAGCATGATGGGCACATATTATTACTTGCAGTATGCAAAGCACTGTGATTGATTTGGTGTGTAGTGTAAAGTTTTTCTGTTTCAGTAGTTGCTTTCCTAGTGATCTATCCTGGAAAAACTGAGATGTATATTGCTTAATGTTTATCATATCACATCAGAACTTAGTAGTGTTGTCAGTGGCTGAGGAATCTCTACAGTTGGGAGTATGTGATTTGCTCTCTCATAGATCCACAGTTAGGTGTGAGCCCTGGCTAGCCATCTTGAGGCTTGATTGGCTGAGAGCCCACTTCAGGCTCACTCTTGGGCTGTTGGCAGGCTCTGGGCCTTTGCTAGCTCTGGCTGTATAGATCAGATCTTTTTACACAGGTCTCTCCATAGCTGCTTCTGCTATACAGCACCTAGCCTCCTAGAGTGGGAGGGGTTGGGGGGAGCCCTCTCTTTATAATCTTATTGCAGAAATGATTTCTCATTTTTCTGCTAGAATCTGTTTGCTAAGAAGAGAGCAGGGTGCAGCCCATATTTGAGGAAAGGATTGCCCAAGCCATGAACACTGGAAATTAGATTCTTGGGAGTATGATTACTTCTACTTGTTAATATCCAAATGGCCTTGTGTAGGAGGCTCTTTTAGGCCACCAACCAGCCCCCAAATCATGACATGGAGACTTCTTATTTGTTATGAATGCTTGGTCTTATCTTAGCTCTTAGTTTAATCTTGTAGATGGAAGTTTCTGTCCTGCCCAGTCCTGCAGCCGTTTAGTCCCAAATAAATACACAGTGGCGTTATATAAATTATAAACTGTTTGGCCAATGGCTTAGGCTTCTTATTAGCTAGCTCTCTCTCTTAATTATTAACCCATTTCTATTAATCTGTGTACTGGAGAGTGTCTAGGTGTCCTACCTTCCTGGTAGCTACATGACGTCTCCCTGACGCTGCCTCCTACTTTTCTCTATCCCTGTTTGAATTTCCTGCCTGGCTAAATCCTGCCTGTCTATTGGCCAAAACAGCTTTATTCATCAACCAATAAGAGAAACAGATATTCAAAGCATGCAGAAGGACATCCCCCATCATAATCTATTTCTCTTTATATATGTTTTACCTCAGGACTTTTTACCCTTCTTTCTGTATATCCTACTTTACTGCTTCTCATGTCTGGTTGGTTGACAGCTTCCTGGCATCTGGCCCCAGGTGTGTCCCTCTTTTTCTCTTTTCTCCTTTTACCTAGATTTCTCCTCCTGCTTACTCTCTCTACCCACCAGCCCTGCCTGTCCCTCTCCTGCCTAGCTACTGGCTGTTCAGCTTTTTATTAGAGAAATCAGGTACCTTAGATAGACAAGGTGAACCATTCTTACATTGTTAAACAAATATAACACACCTTTACATAGTAATATTCTGCAACATAAACAAATATGATACATCTTTGTCTAGTTAAACAAATATTCCACAAGGCTTTGTGGACTTATTTTTTAATATCAAGAAAGCAAAAATTATCACATATATACAAAGAAATATACAATGCTGCCATTTTTGCAGTAATTCCTTGGGTTCTCAACCCTGCAGTATACTGTTCCAGTGTTCCTTTACTTCAGAGTATAATAACCCCATTGCCACTTAAGAATGTTGATGCCTATTTAGTAAGATGAGAGGGACTCAGAAAAGTTTTTACATGGTGATCTGTATGTGGATTTTATGTACAGGTAAGAAAAACTGGTTGCTACATGTTCTCTTTTAGTAGTAATGGAATAGAATAGTGAGTTTTTGTTTAAACTTTAGTTTCATTTTAAATCTGTAGTTTGCATGTATTCCCTTGATAATTGTTAATAAGTTAGGATGCTTCATCCATACTCAGTGTTCACTCTACCCAGAAGAGATAGCAGTGGTAAGACTTAAGAGAGGCCATGTTGTGACTTTGTGATTGATGACAAATTGTTCCCTTCAATCTACTTCCTAGATTGCTGATCTTTCCTTACCCAACTATCTAATGGCGTCTTCAGTTGGACTGCTTCCCACTCAGCTTCTGAACTCTTACCTGGGTACCACCTTGCGGACGATGGAAGATGTCATTGCAGAACAAAGTGTTAGTGGATATTTTGTCTTTTGTTTACAGGTGAGTGTAAAGGGTTGTCTGGCTCTACCCCCTTCTGTATTGATGAATTAAATCTAGTGTTTCATTACCACAGTTGAAGAATTGTTTCTTTTTAGATAGTTGTCCTAATACTGTCTTATATTTGAATAATCGTTTTAATTTGTGGATACTTAGAAGTACATGAATTTGGTGAGATGCATTGAATATCCTCTTCAAAATGAGAAAAAAGAATCATAAAAATAAGATTTTTCATAGGCATTGTTTACAAAACCATCTCAATTCAAATGCTGTATCATGACTGTACTAAAGCTTTGCCTTCGATGATTTTGCAATGTTTTACATTTGAGGAGTTAGTTTTTAATCTAAGTTTAGAAATTTTGTTTTGCCTGCTTTATTTATATAGACAAACATGCTAATCACATAATGTTAAATTTTGTGTATATATTATATATTATTTGCCTTGTGTCATTTCAAAGTACAATGAAGATTCTGGCATATAATGCATTTTCCTAAGGTTTCTTATGATTAATTAAGTGTGCATCATTTTCTATTTTCTAGAAATTTGAAGTCTGTCTGAAATACATTTTTTTTTTTTTTTTTTGGTTTTT